TAACTGGCTAATCATTTCTTAGCCAACACCATACAGAGGTAATCAGATGTTAACCAGTTAATAATTTCTTAGCCAACATCATGCAGAGGTAATCAGAGGTTAACCAGTTAATCATTTCTTAGTCAACATCATACAGAGGTAATCAGATGTTAACTGGCTAATCATTTCTTAGCCAGCAACATACAGAGGTAATTAGATGTTAACTGGCTAATCATTTCTTAGACAACATCATATAAACTAAAGCATGTATCCACTTTACAAAAAAAAAAAAAAAACAATACTAAGGAGATGACATACATTACAAAGATAACAAGATTTAAACGTATTTTAGCTCAAATTAGAGCGACTAGCACCTTTGACCACAAATTTGTTCTTCATGATGATGATGATGCCAATAATTTGAGTCGTAAATATTTAAGATAAAATGGCAAATGCAAAATAAAATACTATACAAATATGTTTATAAATATTCAGTTAAACATCCTTTGATCTAAAGTTTTTTCGTGTACATCTAATACTTGTCCTTAAATACATGTATTAAAATTGACTAATGTAAAAAGAATATGAAAAATAATGCAGAAGTCTCTGACTCTCTGTATCAGTCATTCATAAAACCTATTTGAGCCGCGTCATGACAAAACCAACATAATGGGTTGAAATGACCTCAAATAAGTAGAAAAGTCTAATTCAAGGGCAGATAACTCAAAAACGAGAATGGTGACCCCAATTTTTTTTTCGCTTAAAATGTTTCTGTTATCATAATCTAACAACATGCCAAGTTTAAAGAAATTCTATTGAACAGTTTTAATTTTACCTATATGTCTATATGAAAACTCCCGAAAACATCTTTAAATGAACCATAAATAACCATTTTATAGGCAACTCCATAAGTGTAAATCTATCCAAATCAAAAACAAGTACAATAGTCTACAGCTACATTACCATTTCATAGACAGCTTCAAAAGAATGTTAGTACATGTAAACCACCAGGGCTGACCAATTCATACATATACAGTAAAAAAGAGTTTAAAAAGGCATTATAATGTACCACATCACCTAATTCATAATGTACCACATCACTTAATTCAGACTTCTTTATTTCATGGCCAATAGAAGAGGAGATGAAAAGCCTGATGAAAACATCCACACACTATTATAGCCATCAACATAGAGAGGCAATAGAGGAAATTTTATTTAACCATTTCTTAAGAGGCATTTAAAAAGGCAACCACTTAACCCTTAATTAGCCAAGATCATAGAAAATAATTGGATATAAACCAGTTAACCCTGTCTTCACCAATGCCATAAGATAAGAATTTAAATGCATTCACCTTAACCCATAATTAGCCAAAGCCATTAAGGAAGTAATCAGATATAAGTTTATTACCATTTCTCAATCAACATCATACAGAGGTAATCATAAGTTAACCGGTTAATAATTCCTTAGTCAACATAATACAGAGGTAATCAGATAATAACCAGTTAATCATTTCTTAGCCAACATCATGCAGAGGTAATCAGATAATAACCAGTTAATCATTTCTTAGTCAACATCAAACAGAAGAAATCAGATGTTAACCAGTTAATCATTTCTTAGTTCAACATCATAGAGAAGTAATCAGATGTTAACCAGTTAATAATTTCTAAGCCAACACCATACAGAAGTAATCATATGTTAACTGGCTAAATCATTTCTTAGCCAAACCATAAAGAGGTAATCAGATGTTAACCAGCTAATCATTTCTTAGTCATTATCATACAGAAGTTATCAGATGTTAACCAGTTAATCATTTCTTAGCCAACATCATACAGAGGTAATCAGATGTTAACCAGTTAATCATTTCTTAGTCAACACCATACAGAAGTAATCAGAGGTTAACCAGTTAATCATTTCTTAGCCAACACCATACAGAGGTATCAGATGTTAACCGGCTAATCATTTCTTAGTCAACATCATACAGAAGTAATCAGATGTTAACCAGTTAATAATTTCTAAGCCAACACCATACAGAGGTAATCAGAGGTTAAATGGCTAATAATTTCTTAGTCAACATCATACAGAAGTAATCAGATGTTAACCAGTTAATAATTTCTAAGCCAACACCATACAGAGGTAATCAGATGTTAACCAGCTAATTATTTCTTAGTCAACATCAGACAGAAAGTAATCAGATGTTAACCAGTTAATAATTTCTAAGCCAACACCATACAGAAGTAATCAGATGTTAACCAGTTAATCATTTCTTAGTCAACATCATACAGAGGTAATCAGATGTTAACCAGTTAATCATTTCTTAGTCAACACCATACAGAAGTAATCAGATGTTAACCAGTTAATAATTTCTTAGCCAACACCATACAGAGGTAATCAGATGTCAACTGGCTAATCATTTCTTAGCCAAACATCATATAGAGGTAATCAGATGTTAAACGTCTAATAATTTCTTAGTCAGCATCATACAGTAGTAATCAGATGTTAACCAGTTAATCATTTCTTAGTCAACACCATACACAAGTAATCAGATGTTAACCATTTAATCATTTCTTAGTCAAAATCATACAAAGGTAATCAGATGTTAACCAGTTAATAATTTTATTAGCTAACATCATACAGAGGAAATCAGAGGTTAACCAGTTAATTATTTCTTAGTCAACATCATACAGAGGTAATCAGATGTTAACTGGCTAATCATTTCTTAGCCAACACCATACACAAGTAATCAGATGTGAGCCAGTTAATCATTACTAAGTCAACACTAAACAGAGGTAATCAGAGGTTAAACGGCTAATCTTTTCTTTAAGTCAACACCATACAGAAGTAATCAGATGTAAACCAGTTAATCATTTCTTAGTCAACATCATACAGAGGTAATCAGATGTTAACCAGTTAATCATTTCTTAGTCAACACCATATTGAAGTAATCAGATGTTAACCAGTTAATCATTTCTTAGTCAACACCATACAGAAGTAATCAGATGTTAACCGGTTAATCATTCCTTAGTCAACATAATACAGAGGTAATCAGATAATAACCAGTTAATCATTTCTTAGCCAACATCATGCAGAGGTAATCAGATAATAACCAGTTAATCATTTCTTAGTCAACATCAAACAGAAGAAATCAGATGTTAACCAGTTAATCATTTCTTAGTCAACATCATAGAGAAGTAATCAGATGTTAACCAGTTAATAATTTCTAAGCCAACACCATACAGAAGTAATCATATGTTAACTGGCTAATCATTTCTTAGCCAACACCATAAAGAGGTAATCAGATGTTAACCAGCTAATCATTTCTTAGTCATTATCATACAGAAGTTATCAGATGTTAACCAGTTAATCATTTCTTAGCCAACATCATACAGAGGTAATCAGATGTTAACCAGTTAATCATTTCTTAGCCAACATCATACAGAGGTAATCAGATGTTAACCAGTTAATCATTTCTTAGTCAACACCATACAGAAGTAATCAGAGGTTAACCAGTTAATCATTTCTTAGCCAACACCATACAGAGGTAATCAGATGTTAACCAGCTAATCATTTCTTAGTCAACATCATACAGAAGTAATCAGATGTTAACCAGTTAATAATTTCTAAGCCAACACCATACAGAGGTAATCAGAGGTTAAATGGCTAATAATTTCTTAGTCAACATCATACAGAAGTAATCAGATGTTAACCAGTTAATAATTTCTAAGCCAACACCATACAGAGGTAATCAGATGTTAACCAGCTAATTATTTCTTAGTCAACATCAGACAGAAGTAATCAGATGTTAACCAGTTAATAATTTCTAAGCCAACACCATACAGAAGTAATCAGATGTTAACCAGTTAATCATTTCTTAGTCAACATCATACAGAGGTAATCAGATGTTAACCAGTTAATCATTTCTTAGTCAACACCATACAGAAGTAATCAGATGTTAACCAGTTAATAATTTCTTAGCCAACACCATACAGAGGTAATCAGATGTCAACTGGCTAATCATTTCTTAGCCAACATCATATAGAGGTAATCAGATGTTAAACGTCTAATAATTTCTTAGTCAACATCATACAGTAGTAATCAGATGTTAACCAGTTAATCATTCTTAGTCAACACCATACACAAGTAATCAGATGTTAACCATTTAATCATTTCTTAGTCAAAATCATACAAAGGTAATCAGATGTTAACCAGTTAATAATTTATTAGCTAACATCATACGGAGGAAATCAGAGGTTAACCAGTTAATTATTTCTTAGTCAACATCATACAGAGGTAATCAGATGTTAACTGGCTAATCATTTCTTAGCCAACACCATACACAAGTAATCAGATGTGAGCCAGTTAATCATTACTAAGTCAACACTAAACAGAGGTAATCAGAGGTTAAACGGCTAATCTTTTCTTTAAGTCAACACCATACAGAAGTAATCAGATGTAAACCAGTTAATCATTTCTTAGTCAACATCATACAGAGGTAATCAGATGTTAACCGGTTAATCATTTCTTAGTCAACACCATATTGAAGTAATCAGATGTTAACCAGTTAATCATTTCTTAGTCAACACCATACAGAAATAACCAGATGTTAACCAGTTAATAATTTCTTAGCCAACATCATACAGAGGTAATCAGATGTTAACTGGCTAATCACTTCTTAGCCAACACCATACAGAGGTAATCAGATGTTAACCAGTTAATAATTTCTTAGCCAACATCATGCAGAGGTAATCAGAGGTTAACCAGTTAATCATTTCTTAGTCAACATCATACAGAGGTAATCAGATGTTAACTGGCTAATCATTTCTTAGCCAGCAACATACAGAGGTAATTAGATGTTAACTGGCTAATCATTTCTTAGACAACATCATATAAACTAAAGCATGTATCCACTTTACAAAAAAAAAAAAAACAATACTAAGGAGATGAGATACATTACAAAGATAACAAGATTTAAACGTATTTTAGCTCAAATTAGAGCGACTAGCACCTTTGACCACAAATTTGTTCTTCATGATGATGATGATGCCAATAATTTGAGTCGTAAATATTTAAGATAAAATGGCAGCCTCCATGAGAAGTGGTAAACATTTATATTTCGCTTAAATATATGTGATCTATTCTACGTGAATAAAGTGCATATTTGTGAAATAAGACATTATTTCATAATTTACATATAATGAATATTTAATTGAAACTGATAGTACACGGAAACAGATAGAATTGATTGACAACAAAGTTGTACTATACTCGTACGGAAGAGTAGGCGGATACCCATTGATATTGAGCGGTATGCCTAAAATACGAAAGTGAGATTTTTGGCGAAAGTGGGCGAAAGTGACTTTTAAAATTTGAATTGTACCGTTTTAATAGAATTTCACAGTGAATTTTCTGTTTGTAGACGTATATTATTAGCAACTAATAATATTTCTTTTCAAAAATAATCCCTATGATGATTTAATCGCCATTTATTTGCACAATTTCTATACACAAGTTCTGAGATCTTCCTTTCGCTCACTTTGAAAAATACGAAAGTGACATGTAAAATATTAAATATAAAGTTTAAATTGAAATTTATACTAAAATTGCAGTTTGCAGACGTATATCATCAGAAATATATAATATATGTTTTCAATAATAATCATTATGATGATTTAATCACCATTTGTTTGAATAATTTCTATGCACAAGTTCTGAGATCTTCCTTGCGCTCACATTGAAGAATACGAAAGTGACTTGTAAAATATGAAATAAAGCATTGTTCAAATTGAAAGTTACACATAAATTGCATTTTTCAGGCGTATAATATCCAAAATTAATATTATTTATTTTCAAAATTAATCATTATGATGATTTTTACCCCATTTTTTCTACATAATTTCTATATATACAAGTTCAACAATCTTCCTTTCGCTCACATTGAAAATACGAAAGTGACCTCTAAAATATCAAATATAAGGTTTAACTGAAATATAGTGTTGAATATCAAATTATTAATTTCTGAAAATATACGCTGCAGTTTAAGGACATTTTCAATTCAAACTCAATATTTGATATTTTACAAGTCACTTTCGTATTTTTCAATGTAAGCGAAAGGAAGATCGCTGAACTTGTATATAGAAATTAGGCCAATAAATGGCGATTAAATCATGATTATGGTTATTTATTATAATATATATATAATAAGTTGCTAATAATATACGTCGACAAACAGCAATTTTACTGTAAAATTCTATTAAAACGATACAATTCAAATTCTAAAAGTCACTTTCGCTCACTTTCGTCAAAAATCTCACTTTCGTATTTTAGGCAAACCCGATATTGAGCACTCGGAAAGAGATTTGCTCTATAACGGAAACATTCAAGCTTTAATTAAAAAAATAATTAGCCTTGAATGAATAGCATAGACATCAAAACAAAAATTTGGATCACCTGGAGTTAGCAACAGTTACTGCTTATCAATTCTAAAATTCAAGAAGCTTAACAAACGGCACAATCAATACACGGATTGACAGTTTCCGAACTAGCAGATGACAGGCTATTCTTATCAGTAGAATACACCCATAAACACTTTTCATGTGAACTACGTAAATACCCAAGGTATATCGAGTGAAAAAATACGAGTTGTTTCCCTTATCTTCGAGTAAAATTGGTATCTCTTACGCTAAAACAATACAAATTAAGCCATTTTGAAACTGCTTGTTTGTTGTGATTAAATGTCCGATTTTAAAAATTATTACATCAATGGAAAGCTTGGGATCTTAGCTTTGTCACAGTATATAATTTTACATATCTTTTGACACCAAAGTATTTAAATTAACTGTTAAACCTACCATATGTCAGCCCATTTTACATATGATTTATACATTGAGATACGCAACCGGTTATCTTTACTCGAAAACCTACTGATAAGAATAGCCTGTTGTCTGCTAGTTGGGGAAAGTGTTTATCGGTGTATTGCTAGTAAAGATAACAGATTGCGTATCTCAATGTATAAAACCTATGTAAAATGGTCTGACTTGTGGTAGGTTTAACCGTAGATTTAAATACCTTCGGTGTCAAACAATGTGTTGAAATATATACTGAGACGAAGCTAAGATCTCAAGCTTTTCATTGGTGAAATAAATTTTAAAATCAGACATTAAATCACCCCAAACTAGCAGTTTAAAAACGGCTAAATTTGCATTGTTTTAGCATTAGAGATATCGATTTTACTCGAAGATAAGGGAAACAACTTGTGTTTTTTCACTTGATATACCTCGGTTATTTACATAGTTCATATAGAGACTGTCAATGGGTGTATTCTGAAATTCAAGAAGCTTAACAAACAGCACAAAGCTCAGCCTCAAAGGTCTAACTGTGCTGAATATGTCTTACATTGTAATTTGTAAAAGAACAACAAAAAAAAAACAATTGCAAGCTTTTCCTTATGAAATATGTTTTATACATGTGGTTGCTAAATAAGCTGTATGAATTTAGATCAGTGATACTTAAAATAAGCTGACCATTGAATATTTGGGTTTGATCCTTAAAAATTTTGTTGTAGCAGATCATTGATCCTAGAGTTTCAGAGTCTTACGAACACCCTAACAGGGTGTTTGTTTGATCCGAGACCTCGGGTCTTCACCCACGGAAATTCTGAATGCACTTGTTTGACACATCATAAAATCAGCTTGCATGTCATTTTTAACCCGTGATAATTTCTGATGGATGCATGGAAACTTAACTGTTTGTCAATCAATAAATGCAGATGCAAAAACTGCGCATCAACAAAGTATTTAAGTAATAAGCCCCGCCTTCAGGTACAGTAGCCAGTACGCATGACAAATTATCCAAATTAAAGCAGTTTAACTTTCAGCCAATCACTGACGGGTACACTCCCCGTTTGCATCTGATAGCCAGAAGTAAACAGGTAATTAATACATATGGCATATGATGTGTAGATAACAATTTTCAATTAAATCATTTTCCTACTTGGAGGGCCTTTTTCAAAATATCCTTAAAATTCACCAAAATGATGGGCTGTTTTCAAAGTTTGCCTAAATTTTCTTTAAAGTATATTGGTGGATCTTGTTAATTATAATGTACTTTTACAGTCTAGATTTTATTTTATTGGACTTAGAAAATATCAGGTACCATATTTTATAATAAATTTGGCATAATTTTATTTTAGTCAATAAATATCAATAATAATTCTATAATCAAAATGAAACAATTTTTTCTTTCCAAGATGGATCCAAGAGACACATAAATAATATTCAAAGAAAGAAAAAAAAATTGCCTCCTCTGGGGTTTGAACCCGAGCCCCTCAGTTTCAATGAAGTTGACAGTAGTTCTAGCCTATTTGAATGCTCTTCAAAGTGAAGCTAATGCATTAGGTGGGTCATACATGTACCTTAATATAATGTGTCCCCGCGGATGAGACTCATCGCGGACAAAAATTTGCTCAATTTTGCAGAAATTTTTCACCACCGCGGACATAAATCTACAGCTGTAAGCGTTTCCCCCGCGGAACACAGTGGTTAATTGCGGGGGAACGCGGTGGTCAATCACCGTGGACCGCGGTGGTATTCATCGTGAAAACGATTGAATTTATAAGTATTTTATGGAACTTGTTAAAACTTTATGAAATAATTGTACAGTTAAGAGTCTAATAAAATAATTTTTTTGCCTTTATTTTCCCTTTCAGAATGTTTTTGGACGTCAATTTCAGAAGTTGCAACAGCTTGCGTCCGGGCCCGTACTGCTAGTCAAAAGTTATTGCAACGTGTATTTTTTCTGTGTCTAGACCCTGATTATTTAAGTTAACGTAATAATGCATTTATTTACATGTGAATAGACAGAAGGACTCTATTAATATTTCATCGTAGATTGTAAAAATTTGGGTGCTGTTATTTTTGTTGCAAGACATGAAATAATTATGGGGATGTAGTAAGAAATGTACTGTTAAAATTCAAAACTGTATAATGTTGATCCTTAACCAAAGAAATATCTTTTATATCAAAGAAAAGGCATCCTCAGTAACCCAGGCCGTATACCGGTATCGGTATTAATAAGTAGTATTTACGGATAGTGTACTGTGGATTCTGGCGATGAGAAAATAAACAATTAAAATTATTTTAAAAATGCAAGAACTGCGTATAAATTTCTTATTCTTCATGTTAAAATAAAAGCCTATCCAAGGTCGTAGACTTATGTAAGTTTTTTTGTTTGTTTATTATTTTCTTTTCTTAGATTTACTTGTTCTGACCCCCGCGTTACCCGCGAAACATGGATGACTGATTTTAACGATAATGTGACTGCAATCGTCGGTTTTTGGTCCGCGGCGGAAACAACTAAACACTGTGGATAGCGGGGGAAATAATTGTTTTTATCGCGGACCTCCATGGCGTTTGTCCGTGGTAGAAAAATATCGTCCGCGGTGGTATCGCGGAAAAGGCAAAATCAGCGGTGAGCGTACTGTAGATATACAGATCTTTTAACAAAAATCATTAGAATTTATCACACTAGTCTAATTTACGTGTTTTTAAGTCCCATTATTATTAAGTCACATTACCCCCTACACTCTGACAAGCATTTATCATTTTCAATGATACCCTTTTCTTGCAGATGATACACTGTTCATCAATACAGAAAAACCCGTGTTAGAGCCATTACTGCTCCAAGGCTCTTGGTTGGGCACAGCAGCCAGCGGGCGTGAGTCTCCTAGAAGTTCTCTACAATGTGTGCTATGTCCTGAAAAACTTGATATTTCTGAAACTCTTGATGCTTATCTAAAGCATTTATTAGAAACACATAAGTTTGTGATTGCCGATGTGAATTTGATAGCCAATTTTAAAAGGTATGGTACTGCTTGTAGAAAATAATCAAATTAATTGTTAAGTTGATTATCATTGATTTATTAATCCATTCCTCAGATTTGTGTTATGTTGAATATATTAAATGGTATATTGTTCATCTAACCAGTTTCTTACTTAATTTGTTAAATGGATTAGTCCGACTGTATATTTGGAACAGTCCATCCTATGTTAAAGGGATTTCAATATCAGAATTCACCCATAACATGCTGAATATTTTAAATGGACTTGTCCTGCTTCCATTTTTGGGACTGTCTATTATCAGTTTTAGGGATATCAATTTGAATATTTAAAGTTAGTCAGCCAACAGTATAGAGCCTGGTCAGAGTGCACGGATCAGCCTGCACATCTGTGCAGTCTGACCAGGCTCTATACTGTTGGCTCAGATTGCACAGACAGTCACAATCAAATTTGGTTCCAGCTGTTTATTAATTTAAGGACTTAATTGTTATATACATAACTACAGCTTTAACTCGTGATATAGGCTATGAAATTTGTTTTCAAAGATCACTTTAGATATTGCCATATTTGTATTATTTGATCATAATATTTGTTTTTCCATTATGAAACTTTCTGTCATTGTTGACTTGTTTCTTTGAAATAAAGAAAATCAGGTCTGATGTTTGATTCTTTCAGTTACTGTTTATATTGGAAAGAAAGATTCAAGCATGATCCACTGAAAGAGTTTTGCTCAGAAATACAAACTACAACAACAAAGAAGGGTAAAGTTATTTTATGATCACCAATAGTCTTAAAAAATTGAAAAGCATAACAGGGGCCACCTGCTGAATTTGTGTAGTGGATTTGTCCTGCTTTAAAATAGAACAGTCCATTCCAAGTTCAGTGGGTTTCAATTTTAAAATGCAGAAATAAAGCTACCAACAGTATAGAGCCTTGTAAGGCAGTACAGATTGATGCAAGATTTTGAGGTTGGCATTTTGGATTTAAGCTTTAGCTACATTAGTCATAGACATAGATAACAGTTATCTACATCTCTGCTTTTGTTGAAATTCACTTTTAGAAAAATTAATGTCTTTAAAGTTCTTTACTACTTAGCCTAGTGTGACATCACACATAGTGTTATTTCAATCTATCATCCTGGAAATGAATATCACCCAGTCGATAATATTTTGTAATATTACTTAGGGGCAAGATAATCTATATAGACTTAAGAAAACTTTATGGTCTAGTTCTCTCTCCTGGCTCTGGCTCTTCGATTAATAATGCATAGCGGTGAAAACTACATTAAAATGTTGTTTTGGTGTAATAGAAAAATAACACATGTCTCTCAGGGTAATAGTGCATGTTTGCAACCCTTGAACTGAAAGAACACCCATGGCGGGTGCATATTAGTAACCCTTTAACTGAAATAACATCCTCAGCTCTGCCTTGGGTGTAATCAGGGTCTTTCAGATAGAATGGTCTAGAAACACACTATGTAAACCCTTTTCACTACAATTAAACATGTTCTCAGTATAACTCTGTATAGTTTGCTATATACAAATTATGTAAGTTTTCAAGAAAAGGGCCCTAAAATTAAATACAAAGAGCAAAAAATGAAAATTCTAACAACATGATGGTCTTTAAAAATCTTTAAACTTCTGAAAAAA